ATAATACAATTTTATCTTCTCTGTAATGTGTTATTTAAATCTTTTGTATTTTCTTCCGAGTCGGAGAAAATTCCGAGAATCCAAATTAAATTGTGATATCTTTATAAAGCAATTGACTTAGATTTTGTAATTTACGGAAAAGTTCTATCTTTATATAAAGTAATGTTTTAAATAATAAGTTCTTATAATTTTAGTCTAAGGCGTAACAAAAAAATATGTTTGTTTACGGTTACCCGACCGACCCTAATTTTCATCGCCGACCCAAACTTTTTTTTCGTCGTAAAAATCCGGAAGTTACTGGCCGGTCAGTTTAACTTTTACATTCATCTTTGAAATCGAAATTGAAAGTACAAAAACAAAACCAGCGAGTTGCAATTTCTACAACAATGAGTTCGTTGCAATTTGCTTACCATTGCGTGGAAGTTGCAGGGGTGTACAACTAGCATCGCCTGATGCCCGTACTACCGTTTTTGGGGTAGTAAAAATAAAAATTATGCATATAATACATGAGAAATACAAACGGTATTTTCACTCATTGTTTTGCTATTTAATTTCCAACTAATGAAAATTTTCCAGGTAACATACCCCAACTGTTCTTAAATTACTTTAACCTTATCCATTCTGAAGTACTACCTGACTTATTTACTTCAAAAAACGATCGTTTTTTCCTAGTCCGAATTTCCTCCATTCCTCTGTTAATAGTAAATACATGCAGCTATCTCTTTCCATTATTTACGGTCCCCCAATCAACTAATAGCTAAGTGTATTGTGGTTAAACTTTAATATATATCAATTGTATTTAATGGTTTGAAATGAAAATAAAATGATTTTGCTTCATTTTAGATAAGCTACACTGCTAGTACAATATAAATATGTTCAGAAAAGAAAAGATAATATAATTTCTTAAAATTTTTAAACTTCAACTTTAAAATGGATGGCTTAGGACCCTGACTTTATCAACAATGAACTTTTTACAATATTTGTTTTTACAATTTTTTGCCCCTATATTTGGACTGCTCACTTTTAACTTCGGGCTAGTACCTTTATTGCTGTTACAAGCCTGTGGGCTAGTACTTGTTTTTTTTTTATTGCACACCCCTGAGTTGTAAGACAGTTGGCAAGAAACCACCCATATTTGAAGCCAAACAAAAGTATAAAGGCACCATACAATGGTAAAACTGTTTTGTAATTCAACCAATTCATGTGAATTTGTGTATAAAAAAATTCAATAAAATAAAAAAAAATTCCTACCTACCGACCCTATTTTATTTCAGCATGTAACAGTAAACAAAGGTATTTTTTTGTTTGGCCTAATAATTTTCATTGTACATACGCCATATATGGCTTTAAGAAAGTCTTAGATATTGTGTATGTTGTATAAATCAAATATGAAGAAAAAATGCATGCAATTGTATAAATAGATACCTTTTACAAAGGAAAAATATAAATACTTAACTTGCCTATTTCACTCTGAATTTGTTTATGGTTAAATTTCACAGTGAGAATTAACCCCATCCCACCCACCCTCTCATTCTCAATATCATAATGATGTATGGATTTATAGGAAAAAAAAGTTGGTCTGGTAAAAAATTGTTTGGTCTGGTAAAAATTTTATTTTTACCAGACATTTTGTCCTGTAAAAATTTTAAACTTTCGCGTAGACTGAAAGCGTCCCCTAATTTTAGTCAAAGCGCTCCCTGATTTTAGTCAAAGCGCCCCCTGATTTTGGTCAAAGCGCCCCCTAACATTTTTATAGAAAAAATACCGCCCCCAAGTATTGGTCAAAGCGTCCCCTAATTTTAGTCAAAGCACCCCCTAATTTTGGTCAAAGCGCCCCCTAACATATTTTTATAAAAAAAATACTGCCCCCAAATATTGGTCAAAGAATCCCCTGATTTTAGTCAAAGCGCCCCCTATATATTTTTACAGAGAAAAAAACGTTTCGAGTCGATCCCCAAGTAATGGTCTAAACGTCCCCTGAATTTGGTCAAAGCACTCCCTTATAAAAATTTTAACTGCCAAACAATGATAATATTACAAATACAAAACAGTTTTATTCCGTAATATGTTTGTAAAAATATATTAGGGGGCGCCTTCACCAAAATCAGGGGACGCTTTGACCAAAATAGGGGACGTTTTGACCATTGCTTGGGGCGGTTCCCAGACGATTTTTTCTAAGAAAAAAAATGTAAGGGGGCGCTTTGACCAAAATCAGGGGACGCTTTGACCAATATTTGGGGGCAGTTTTGTAACATCATTTTACTGTAAAATTTTATAAGGGGCGCTTTGACCAAAATCGGGACGCTTTGACCAAAATCAGGGGACATTTTGACCAAAACAGGGGACGCTTTGACCGGGACGGTTTTATCAGGGGGCGCTTGGACTGGATTTCGATACACATGATGTTATACTGTTCAGTGCTCCAAGTCGCACTTACTTTTAAATCGCTACATGGCGACCTGATATTTATTTTGGTCGCCATTTCAGAATTTCTGGTCGCCATAATCAAATATTTCACTCGCCATGAAGAGATATGAAAACACAATTAAAACAAGGAACTAACACCCATATGTGTTATGTTTTTATTAAATCAAAGATTACCAATTCCTGTGACTATAGAAATCTTTTGCTAGTTGAAGGAAATATTTTTATTAGATACAACCACCCTTATGGTTGTACAGTACACAGAAGAACAAAAGTAATCTGTTCATAGAATTAAAATTAAATTAAGAGAAAATAAAACTTTGAAAGTTGTTGAGACAGGACTTTTTCAGTTTGTCATGTTTACTTATTACTACGCATCTTACCCCCGGATATTAATGCAGTCATTATCAATGCCGCCAAAACAATTAATTCTGATATGCAAGCCATTGATCAGATGCTTCAATAACAAGGTCAGGGCAGAGAAACTCTAGAAAGTTTACGACGTTTGGATGCCATTCTATCAGGGATGTTATGGATATACGTCTCTGGTTCTATCAAACTTCACTATTACAACATGCTATCATAACATTACGTGATCCAAGTCCATGCGACCTTTTGTAAAGTGTGTAAAAGTATATATCTTCAAACGTTGTCTTGATAGAGAATCTTGAAAAATTAAATCTCGATGCACATAATAAAAAGATGGACATTGCCAGCCCAAATTTTCTCAGTTGCAAAAATGCAACTTAGTTTTAATTTCTAGTCGCAAAACCAATTTTTTGGTCACAAATGCGACCATTTTAGTCGCAACTTGGAGCAACTTACTGCTGTTATACCTGTATTATGTCATTATACGGAACAAAAGACAATTTTCTGCTTTACATCGTATATTCAACAGTATCATGATACGCATTTGTACTGTGTCGAAGTATCACGATATGTATCATGACAATATCTGCAATACTCAAGCCTAGATTTGAACCCACAAGTAATGATCAACTCCTTACACTGTATCTCTAGAGCAAATGATCTAACCACTGTGCTATGCTAGTGACTCATTCTTTGTGCAATTGAACATTAAATGCATCCAGATTTATGGCTATTGAAAAAAGACTGATAAATTGAACAGTTACTATTCAAAATTTTCTATTGTTAATGGTAGTGCACAATTGTATACAATGTTCTCTTTTCCTACTTTTTTGACTCCTCCAAACAAAATAGTTTCTCAGAACCCCCCCTCCCAATTTATAAAATACATTGTAAATATGTAAACTTCCTGAAAAAAAAAAAAAGCCACTCAACACAAGCTCAATATCAAATATGATTTGTCCATTCCTTTGCATTTTTCAATTTTCCTAAAAGGTCCAATGTGTTTATGGGAATAATCAGAGCTCTTGAACTGCTTTCTGGCAATAGGGCCAGGACCATAAAGATTGGGAAAATAGTGACCTTTCAGGAAATTTTTGAATAACTATGATATACTGGGTTTTTGGTCTTTGTTATCAACTAAATTTTCGTTTTGTAATTTATAATGGACTTGCTTTCATAACATTAGTCAGAAAATTGAAGTTAAATACAGCATCTAAAGAAGGTACAAAAGTTGATACAGTGCATTCATGCATTACTGAAGTGTTTGTTAAAACACTTCTGTTTTCAGTGAAATGGGCTTGCTGTAAAGAAGCTTCAAAATGCTTATACCTGGGGTACACAGTAGTATGTTCATTTGAACTTTGCAGATGAAAGCCTAACAATGAGGAAATTGTTGGTTGTATTGGGAAATTCTGATCTTCCTCCTTAAATAAAATCTTACCTGTGCTTTTCTGTGTTGGTACACTCTTGCCTTGGTAGATATTATTTATGTTTAGTGCCTTGTATTTGTTCGATCCCTTATCACCTTTTCCGCCTATCCCAGAAAATGTGGACATCTTGCCTGTGCACTCATTGAAGATTTTCTAATTACTTAGCCTATGAACGAACCGCTTAGTCTGGGAACAGAAATAAACAAAAAAATTTTAACAGGTTGGGACCAATCGCCCAAATGGGATATAATAGTCCGTTTGGGATATAATATCCCAAATGGGCTATAAATTTACAGTGCAAAAATTGAAAATTTTTATTTTGGAAATAAATATCATAAATCCGCATCAGGACACTTAAAAAGGAATTACTTTTGGTTGACAAGTTTTCCTCTATGCCTATTGTTTAGGAGATTGATCCCTTGGAAATTCCTTAACTTCTTGGGGATCAATCTTACAAACGGTAGGGTTGCAGAAAAACGTGCTTACCAAAAGTTATTCTTTTTTAAGTGCTTTGATGCGGATTTATGATATTTATTGCAAAAATAAAAATTTTCAATTTTTGCACTGTAAATTTATAGCCCATTTGGGATATTATATCCCAAACAGACTATTATATCCCATTTGGGCGATTGGTCCCAACCTGTTTAAGTTTGAGTCGAACACATGATATAGTACATACAAGTCAATTTATATATTTTTTTTTACCTTTTTAAAAGAAAACATCCATTTTAGAATTACAATTTTTTTTATACATTACTTGAAAATTCTTTGATAATAATGGCTATAACAAGATCTATGACATTTTATAATGAAGTCGGACTGGAAATGACAGGTTCAACCTTGTTGGTAAACAAAGAACTTTTGCCTGTCATAATTTCTATGGATCTTTTAATAATTATCAATACTTGTAAATGATTATTCTAACCAACTGCAGGTATCTTATTGTGGACAAACAAACATGCATCATCAGCATGGATATTTCATAAAATACATAATATATTAACAAAAGATGTCAGATCGAAAAGCATCATGGTCGTCACAGCGTTTACATACATTACAGCTATTTAGAATGAACAACATTCCAATAACAGAAACGCCCTTTTAAACAAAAAAGAGAGCTTTTTTAATTCGTTTAGAATTGTATGTATTTTATGCAAGTATTATACTGTTCATAGCTAGTCAGAGTTAGTAACTATGACGCGAAAAGAACGCAGTTACCGATGCATATAGTATAATATTGCATCCATCAATGACAGGTCTGAACAATTTCGAAAATATATTGATAACGATGGAAAGGTAAACACTTACACGGGTCCGTTCCACTGGGCTATTATTGGAAACAATAAAAATTCCTTCAGATGTCCACTGAAGAAGGTGATGATAAAGATTTTTCTCGGATTTAACCGATGGTCGTGAATAATTTCACTTCCAAGATGGCGGTGTAATAATTATGAATATGCAAATAAGTTAGTGATGTCATCCTATCCCATAATCCTTTGAGTACGTACGTCTCTCAGCTGGGTGGATCATAATATTTGCAATCTAATTAAAATCAGACTTCTTAGATCCGCGCCGTATACACTCTGCGTAAGAAGATCTGACATAACCCGACCAGGGGTCATGTTCACGTGAACTTTATCTTAGCCAATCAGAGCGTCGGCTTTGAAACCGTCGGTGTTTACTCAAAATACATCGGAACACCGAACGTATTAGTAAATCCCGAGGCAGTACCATGAATATGGAAGATTTCGGAGGCGGTCCCAAAACACCTCAGCGAATTTATAGCGTAAACGATGTATGTTGTTTATGTTGTTTTTCCTTCGTCGTAAAGGAAATTGACGTGAGGGGGAATAGTGTTGTCAAAAAACTGCATAAACTTAAGTTGAAGCTAACCGATGAAAAAAAGACCATCGTAAGTCAAGTAGTGGAGCTCCCTCCACAGGCAACAGGCATATGTGTCAGATGTTTCGCAAAAGTGGAGAAGGTGATAAAATACAGAAATGAAATCGACAATATTATTAGTAGTTTTGAGGAAAGCCGGAGACGATTGCTGTCCAAATCGCCAAGATCCGTCAAAAAGCGAGGCTTGCGATCGCCAGAGGTAAGTTGACCTAGCTGACATCACGTAAAATTGATCAGCTGATCACGAATATGTATACAGTTCATCTTTTGTGGTCAGCCGGTGTTGAATTATATAAAAAATCATGGAATTTTCATCCGTCAATACAAGACAATAAATGATATCACATTAATTATCAGTTTAGAAGTATGTTACACGAACATATTTATAATTGCATTAATAAAGTTTTACATACAACTGTACTAATATGAAAGATGAAGAACCCTTATAACTACCTGTTTTAAACAGGTTCCAAACCGCTAAACAATAAACAAAGGACATGTCTTTTAGTACAGTACACCTTTTGAATCAAAATTATAAAATAAAAGTTCAACATAATTTCATCATGTGTATATTCATGTATAAGTAGTAAGTTCATCAAATAGGAGTAAATCTGTTTACATATACAATGTACCGGGTACGTACATATATTATAGTTCCCCAGCTCTTTCCTCAGTTATCTTTGCTACAATGAATTAGATCATTTTTTCATCAGCACCTGATTAAGCATGCATGCAATATTACAGCCCTGTGTAAACAGGAGGTAAAATGAGAACAAAGGCAGAAATCAGTTTCATTAATTTACACAGGTAGCTGTTCCTGAGTCCAAGAATTTTTGTGAGAGGGCCAGTACTGACAATGAGGTGGTTGATTTTTCCTCAAAATACAAAGCTATTTTGCCAAAGTCAAAAGGTATTGATAAAAGTTAACATGGTAGTCTATTTTAGTCCTAAAAAATATTCCTAGGAACGAACATAAATCACTAAATGAAACTGAAAACTGAACTTTAAAAAATCAAACATTTCAAATGTTTTACTGAATGGTCATTAAGAAATTTAGGTGAATAAAATTTTGTATTAAAAAAAATTGTTTCACGTTAAAGGTCATGAAGACAAAAACTTCACAGCAGCAAGAAAGTTCCTATCTTTTGGAGGGAATGATTACTCAAGTCAAAATGAAGGTATGGTTTCACATATTTTCTTCATCCATGAACTGTATTTTGTTACAAATAAAAAAAAAATTAAATAAACGTCTTGTTTATAAATACATGTAAATGCAATCTTATACCATGTATACATTAGGAAACCTTACTCTCACTTTTCTGGATTTAAGCCCTATTAAGCATATCTCAGGACCTATAATAATCAATATAAACAATAAATGAACAAACAAATAAATCAAAATTAAAAAATATAAAGTGAATTAATTGGGAATGTGTGTTTTATAGCTACATAATTTAGTACGTTCTTTACTAGTCTTGATTTCTTATACTTTCTTGAATTGATTAAATATAAATTGCTCTCTTTCTCACACAGATGACAAATCCAAATATCTGGATCTACATCCATTGCCCTCTGGAGACAATCTTTCTACAGGTAATGATTTGTTTCATCTTAAACATATAAAAGCTCTAAGGAAAACAGAAATTGTCATTAGAATATATATCTAATATGGATATAAACATTCTAATTGTAAAATCAGACTTTCAAATATTTATTTTTATTTTAAATCTTAGAACAAGAAGACAAACCTGGTATGAAAACCTTTCAAGGCCAAGGAGAAGTAGAGGTGAGGCATTATACTTATGTTGCTTGTTATGCTTGACTTATATTATACTTCAGTGATGTTTTTTGTTTTGTTTTTTGTATTTTTTTTTTTTTGCTCATCCCATAGCATTCAATCTGAGAACTTATTTTTATCTGTATTATTAAGATGTAATACTATACCCGGAATTTAGCAATATTATAATAATAAACATTTGAACTTTGATATCTTGAATACCCAGGGTATGTCAAAGTGAATTGAGGCAGACTCATCACATATTCCCTAAGTATTTTACTCTCAATGTTTCGAATCCTCCATTATCTCATGATTTTTTTTCCAGCCCCATTAGGTTCAAGATAATGATGTTTGACTGTATATATTTTAACATCTGTAAATTATTTATCTTAAAACACACTTTTCCCCACTTTATGGAATTTGACCTGAATTTTTTTCATAGATATGCAAAAATGATGCCTAAGGCCTAAATACTTTTTAAATAATTTTTTCAAGTATTTAGTTGATTTGAAGGGTTGATTGTTTTAGGATGACAATGTTAATTAAAGTTTGTACTAGTAACTGTTTTATATTTTTGTTTTCTTCTTTAATTCTTGACAGATTTCTAGTTTGTCTGGTCGGGTTATGTCAGATCTTCTTACGCAGAGTGTATACGGCGCGGATCTAAGAAGTCTGATTTTAATTAGATTGATAATATTTGATTAGCCTTTTAATTAAAAATAAATCATAAAATTTACATGAAATACATAATGGATAAACTGGAGAATCCTCATAATTTTAGGTTATGACTGAAAAGTTAAAAATTGGCAATGTTCTTTTTCTTGAGACCATTTAAAGAATGGTTGTAAACGGGACATCTGTTGTAAGACTAAGAATAAAATAGCATGAACAAAAATTATTTTTATTTTTGTTGAAATTTATAATACTAGTAAAGATTTTTAAAAAGTAAATTACTAGTATTTAAACCTTTTTAACACATTAAATTTGCTTTTGATGTAAATTTACATATTTTATCATTAATAGAACTGTTTTGATTAAGATTTTAGTTCTTATATATCAAAGCCAAGAAGGACTACGGTTATTCTCTAAAAGTATTGCCCAATCTATTTATCAGATTATTACTTTACAGTCTTGAAGTATATAAAATTTCATTGCAAAAGTTGAAACAAAGGCTTTTCTAGGCATCGTTTAGAAATAAAGAGTGTTGAACACAAACAAAATACATTTTTTTTAACCGTGACCTTGACTTCAGAAACTTTTTATGCCCCAGAGAACTGTCATATAGAGAAATATATGTGTAATACACAGGAAAAATGGATGGATTTCTAACCCTGACCTTTGGACCTCAGAGTCGAGAGGTGTCCTCTTTACGCATTAGGAAATTGTGCTATAAATTTAGCCCCCCCCCCTCCCCCACTTTTTTTGCAAATATTTACATAATATAGGCATTGTAAATTTGGTCGTAAATTTAGCCCCCCCCCCCCCCATTTTCAACATATTCATCAAAGAAGGGCAAGTGGTAGTGTTTGGAAAAAAATTGGTACTGAAACAAGTTCGAACCTTCACCCCCTTTCACTTTGCTTCCGACACCAATGCGCCAAATCAAAATATCTACAATATCACATTAAGAAGAAGGTATGGTTTGGGCTTTATTGCGCCCTAAAAATTTAAAATTCTTAAAAAGTTATGAAATTGTATGTAATAAGAGTTGAGTAGATGAATATGATAAATCATTAAAGGATATGGCATGAAGGAGGACCATTCTGGAAATATGTCATTAATTTGGTACATTTCAAAGTTTAAGGGCATACGCAACGTACCTTATCTACTGATAATTTTTCAACATATTCCTTAATCAAAATCAAAGTACTGAAAGTACTGAAAAGCGGTTAGCATGCTTTCATCTAATATGTACCGAAAAAGTGCATAAAATGATGATATTTAAATATGCATATCTTTGTCCAATGTCATCAGAGAAGAAAAACCCAGACATTCCGTTTTTGTAATACTTTACTCAATAGTAAAACCAATAACATTCCAAACTGATGTCACAGATGGATGCAATCTAATTAAAATTAGATGTTCCGAATCCGCTAATGCTTCTCAAACATCTAACAACATCCTATTTGGGGTCATGTAAGAGTGAACTTCGATTAGGCAAAGAAAATGGTTCCTCCGAAATCCTGGCTTATAGTTCAGATGGGTTTCTTGTTTTCACCACCCAACCAAAACACCCGAGGAGTTTTGTAGTAAAAAGATATGCATTGCAAAAGTTGTGTTATGTATGACGTGTGGGGTATCTTGTATAGTTTGTGCTCTTTCGTTTGCATTATTCACGTTTAGATGCCAGACTGCAGAAGATACATGAAATTTATTCCAAAATTACTTTAATTCAACGTAAGACAGTATCAATAATGATGATATGTAGCCGTGGAATTAATTTGAGAACTGTTTACCGAGGCTTGAATCTACATGGTCAAAGTGTTTGTGTTTACTTGTACATGTATTCATAATTGAAAGGTCGCTCTGATGTGACCCCGAATGGGATGTTAGATGTTTCAGAAGCGGTAGCGGATTTGGAACATTTAAATAAATTTTAATAAGATTGAAATGCATGTTTCAAAATTTAAACATGAGATTTCTTCAGTTTGAAAGACAGGAAGTGCATTTTTAAAAATTCTCTCTTGATGGCATCCAATTGTTCTCTGGATAAAAAAAATTATGTTGATGTTGAAAATTTCATTGTCTTTTATTCTCTATTGAATCTGAAATTAGGTAATTGTAAAGCCTACTATAACAAACAACTAAAAAAAATGACAAGTTAAATTCTTTAGATTAATGGATTTTGAGTAGTGTAGATCTACAGCTGGCTAGTCAGAGAAAAAGGGATGGCTGAGGAGAGACTTTGTAAATGAATTGATATCAGAGAGATTCAGTTGTGTAGGCTCATCGCGGCAATATAATTAACCTGTCAACGAGGGATGCTTACTTTTTCTAGGCAACGGATCCCACCTCTTGAACTTTCAGGAGTCAGCTTTTCTTCTAAAATCGATCATTCTGTATTTTGATACAGAAACTGAATACTTCCTTTAGTAATATTATAAACTTCTACTTCTACGGGAAGACTGGCGAGTAAACAAGATTATCAAGCTTTATGAAATATATTTTATTGACTTTTCAAACAAGTAAATGTTCGAATAAAGTAAATGGTATATGAGAATCATTTGAAAGAAGTCTTGCACATTATAAGGCACAATATCTAGATAAGGACATATAAGGTGTTTTTATCATGTACTCTTCATGCAATATTGTTCTCAAATAAAACATGAAAAAGAAAGTTATGTAATCAATCAATACTAGTATTTAAAAATTCAAATGTACATTAAAAATCAGTGTAACTTAAGAAGTTATCAGTGTCACTTTCTTCAATATGTCGGTTAAACAATATACACTGATTTATTTTCTATCAATGTGCCTCTAAACACCTGTATTTTAATTTTATTCTTCTCAAACGTTTAAAACAATAATCGACAAATTGGACAAATTCAAATTCTAAAAGTATTTTCACAGCTAATAATACGTTCCCTGGGAATTGATCAAATTTTCAAAACTTATAAATAAGAATTAAGTATATATTTTAAATTTTTGCTAATTGCCAAAATTATTCATACCTCATTCTTCTGTGAAAATAATATCGGTTGATTTTTAGATGAGGATCACAATGCTGATTAAAATGAATATATATTTCTCCATTTTTTTTTTCAAAATTGATTTTACTACTTTAAGTGCTCCATTATTTTTTACAAAACTAATAGTAAGTAATCCCTTATGATCTATTGTTATAAATTATCAAAGACGGAGTAGAGAATTTATCCCTGGGAGCAGAGCTTTTATAATCTGTTTATTAGACAGAGAAGAAAAGAGAAGAAAAACAAACGTTTCATAGTGGAGGTAACCCTATTGTTTCCATAAAACGTTACAAAAAGTGTAAAACTTACAGATGCGTTCGGTGTTTTTATAAAAGCGCTTTTCAGGTATTAACTTAATAAATGGTGTTTCTTAATACTTTGGCAAGAAAAATCAAACTCGATCGAGAGATTTGCTGATGTTTTTGCAGTCTGTAATAACCTCCAACCTGCTGTATAATAAACTTTCAAAAATAAACTAACAGTTGCCAGAAATCGCGATCGCGCGATACACATGTAATAAGGACCAAATTCTCAGTTCTTAAAAGTAAGTGTTGTAAGTATTGTCAATGCTTTGGTAAATATACTAATAAGAATTCGATATAATCGTCATAATATATAGCCACTCTTCATACATAGCATATACTTCGTTAGTACGAAGTGATATACATGTAGTAGGGGCTGGCTTTAGTCAGACTTCACAGCATATTGTCAATCTCTAACCAGGGGGCGTATTACGCCGACAGTATACAAATCATTTGCTGAAGTTACCGTTGTCGATAGGTAGGTCCTTGTGGAAGTTTCCGGTTTTGGTTGCAGAAGGATAAGGTTACGAGCGATAAAGCAATGCCGATAGGTAGCGCCTTATGGAGGTTTCCGGTTGCCGACACATGCCATATAGCGGCTAGCGAAGCTAACCGCTTAATTACAGTGTCAAAAAAAATCAAAGTACTCAGAAGTACAGAGAGCCGGGCTCATTTACAGAGTAGAATGGATTTCTTACATGAATCACGTTTATATTCTGATGAAAAAATTATTTTAAAACTATCAATATAAATGATAAGACACTGACAGTGAGTTTTTCAATCCTAATACCACGGTCCGATTTTGTCAGCATCAGAATTAATCTGGTACCGCAGCTGAATGTAAACAAACAGGCCAGTCTGGTTCCCTCTCCTGCTTTACCTCGTATGTGTAGAGAACTACGGTAACATTGATTATCAAAAATCCCTACGCTAATGAACTATGTTCTTTGACTTATGAAGTTTTCAAAGTCATTACTACTAATGTTTATTTTATATAGATAAAACTTCGTTTTATTTTTGTTGCTTTATTTAGCGTTTGTATTATCTCAAAAGC